TTAATGAATATAGTAATATTTGGTCAGCTTGCCTGTCACTGGGACAAAATACCCAACACCTACAATTTAAAGGAAGAGGTTTATTTTGGCTCACAGTTTCAGAGGTCTCAGTACATGGTCAGCTGGCTCAAAGGCAGGAACATTGCAGCAGGAGGGCATAGTGGAGCAAAGCTGCTCTCTGTGACAGTCAGGAACCAGAGCACAGGGCAGGAGTGCCAGAGCAGAAGGGGCTAAGGACCAGGTATGCCCCAAATGTCACAGCTCTATGAAACAACCAAATATACTCAGAAATGTGCTTTATTCATCTCTTAGGCACCTCTCACTCCAATCAAATTGAAAATCAAGATTAATCATCACAAATATGCAGATTTTGTCTACCTTTCTTCACTGAATAAGTTATCCTAGAGGTGGTTTATTGGTTAATTTATAAAAGAAAAAATTTCTTCACTGGCTACAGTTCAGAAGCTTGTTTGCATTTCTTCTGTTGAGTATTTGTTTGAAGTGTTTTTGTAACTGCTTTACTTCGCAGTTTCTCTAGTCTTTTTTTTCTGGGAATTTGGAATAGATCTTTGGAACTAATGGGGTGAGATGATGTGTATTTTGCATGCACCTATTGTTATTTGTTGGGTTAGCTATGCACAATGTTCTGGATAAACTGACTTAGGAGATGCAGTGACTCATGTCATTTTTTCTGTAACCAGGGTGACCTGAAGCACTTCAGGCCAGGAGGAAATTGGTTTCTCGTACTCCAGCTCTGTAGCTCCAACTGCAGATGAGTCGGGGCACCATCTCGGCATCCATCAACATGACTGAATTAGTTGCTGCTCTTTCTGATATTAATAGCAATGGCGCCTGGCTACAGGAAACCTTCCCTGCTTGGCTGAAAGAGGTTGTGACCTACTTGCACATGAATTTTAATGGGAGCGTGAAAATCTGCATTTGACTAAAGCTTTAACGTCACCAATTAGAGACACTATAACATGAACTGAGCAACCTCTTTTAAAACCCAGGGAGTATGAAGCTATTAGCTATTCAAATGTGAATGAGATTAATATATATTGGCTCCATTTCTAACATCTAACAGATTTACCTGGGAAGCCTGCTCTTGGATAGAGGGTGGGAAAATGAAAAAATATAGGGAAGCGATGGGGTAGAGCGGGGAGAATTTGGAAGCCCTGGAAGCACAGGAACTGGTTACTAAAGACCACAGAGCTGGCACTACAGAGAGGGTGGGGAAGGCTGTCCTGAGCATTTGGAGAATGGGTAGAGAAATTTTTAGAAAAGAATCGTGAAAGAATCAGAAGGACCCTCGACTGTGTATAAAGTAATCCCTTACTGTATTTCCTGTTTAGGAAGATGGGGAACATAGAGTGATTGCAGGTGAAACCTACAGGAAACAGTAACCCTAAATATGGCCAAGATGGATGGAGTGTGCTTCTGGTGTTTTTTCTGTGTGAATATTCACATATGTGGAGACCATTTTTAGAAAGTAAACTACAACTTACTGTACATACTGTCCTTCAGCCTGGGCAGAGTATATCTTGAAACCTGCTGGTAAGCTGGCTGTGAACAATTGTTCTCTATCTTTCTGTGGTTCTGTACACCCCATCCTTCCCACCTCATCTGACTCCCTGACTGCAGGAGGCTGATCCCATGGAGACTGAAGGCTGAGGACTGACCCAGGGGCCTTTTGTTTATTGACAGGGTAAAGGGCTTATCTTAAAATAATGACAAGGCTCTGCTTGGTACATTACTTTGCATATATTGTCTAAGTATAAGAGGCTTTTAAGTAAGCACGTAGGATAAAATGAAATAGATTGATTAATGTAATCTGCAGCCTAACATTCAAGGCATCCCGTTTGTGAAGCTAAACCATGTAATCACAGCCTGGGGTAAGAAATTTGACTTTGCCCATAGAGAAAAAAGTTGAGATGTGCAGAAGAAAACATACAGTCACAGTACACACCAAGGTTCCAGCCCTGCACCTATTTCTCTCATTTGTTTCATACTTTTGATGCTGACCAGTGGGCCAGAAGTGTTGAGCCTATTTCTCATTTGGGCCCTGCCTGTCCTTCCCTACTACCACTGCCTAAATTTAGCCCTCAGGACTTATGTGGATTGGTGCAAAAACTTCAGATCTTGCTTTCTTGTTCTCAGTCTTGCTCCCAGAACTCCTTCCTGTTTGTACTTCAATGAACCTTCTAATATTAATATATCTTTTCTGTTGCTGGTACCTATAATGGTGTAAGAAGCCACCCCAAAGCTTAGTGGCTTAAAATAACCACTGTTTTATTATGCTCACAGTTTCTGTGTGTGAGGGATTCGGACAGGCATAGCAGGTTGGGTTTTCTCTGGCATGCACCATCTAGAGCTCAGGTGACTGCAGTGGCTGGGGCTAAAGCAGCTGGAGTTGGCAAGTCTACTTCTCAGATGCTTTGAAACCTGCATGTCTGGCTCCCATCTGCAATGCTGAAGAACTGGCTCAGCTGGGACTGACCTGTGTTTGGCCTCCCAACATCATGGCCTCAGGGTAAACACATGGTTCAATGTTTCTAGTGTTCCCAGGTCCCCTGGTCCCGAGGGAGCATGGTGAAAGCCTCATGGCCTATTGTGACCCTGCTGCAGAAGTCATAAGCTTCTGTACTCCATTGGTCAAATCGTCACAAGCCTGCCCCCAATTCAGTGAAGGGAGCATAAACTCCACCCTTGACGGGAAGAATGATAAAAATCTAATAGCTGTGTTTTAGAATGGCCTATTTACTTAATTAGCTAGATAGCTATCTTCTAGATTTGTGTAAACATAGTATAGTTTTGAAGGACACACACCAAATCATTCAAGTTGAAAGGAGGAAAAGAGATGTTTATACTTTTTAATTAATTAATTGATTTGAGGTACTGGGGATTGAACCTAGGGTCTTTACATTAAACAATTTGCAGTCCATTTTAAATTTTTAAATTTTGAGACAGGATCTTGCTAAATTGTCACATTCCCTGGGCTGAGCTCAAACTTGTGGTCCTCCTGCCTCAGGCTTCCCAGAGTGCTGGGACTGTAGGCACACACCACCACATCTGGCCTGATACTTTTTCACATTTCCAAATAAGAAAAAAAGCTGGCAATTATGGATGTTTTTCATTTTTTAAGGAAAAATCATTCTTATATTTTCAAAAGTCTTAAAGACTAAGAATACTGGGCTGGGGATTTAGCTCAGTGGTTCCGCCGCCTGCCTCGAAAGCGGAAGGACCTGAGTTTGATCCCCAGTACCAAAAAAAACGAATGCTATGGTAGGTTTTAAAGTAAAAAAGAAGTGCTAGACCATTTAGTTATATGTAGGGCATACAAAAAGATTGTAACATGGGCTGTTCAATATAAACCGATTACTCACCTTTAGGCCACAGAAGAGAGGTCAGAAAAATCCTTTGGGCTGTTTAAAAGGCCAAAGCCAGAGCTTCTTTATGGAGAGTTGTCCTGGTGCTCAGTTTTACAACCCACCCTGCTTCCATTCTACATGTGAAGTAACTTGCTCACACTAAACCAAGTGGTGGTGGTGGTGGTGGTGGGGTTGCTTTACAAGAATCATTTGGGGATCCTGTGTTTACTGGAGTTGGGAGAAGGCACAGGATTGGTGACTAATTTTTACTAAAGGACCCTAACAGTGAAAGCATAGAGGAATAAAGAGTGAGGATTCACTGGTAGGAAACAACACTTTCACTGATGGTCCCAGAAAGAGGGGACCCATTTACAGGTCATGTGAAAAGGGACACCACCCAAGAGAATCACTTGTAGGGAGAAGCAACCTCCCAAAAGAGCTCGATAGCCCAGGTCCCTACTGGAAAGATCTGCAAGGTGCAAGTGCCACACCCCCACGACAACTGTATCAGTCACATAAGTCTGGGCCATTTGCGCCAATATTTTCCCCAAGGGCAGAGTGGCTGCAAGAGGAGAGAAAAAGTGGACCAAGTACCCTTTCTTCACTTCAAGCTTTTAAGACTGAAGCAAGCTAGCTAGAAGGATAAGAGAAGCTTTAAAATAAATAAAACATTGAAGGTGGGATATTAGATTTAACATGACTTTTACCATGCTCAAGTGAGAGCATTCTTATGACTGAACAAAATCAGAAAAGCTAAGGATTCTCTCTAGAATGGGTATTCTAGAACAGCAGAAAAAAGAATAAAAAAATTTCTTCTTCCTACAGCTATAATGTGTTTAGTACATTCAATAAACATGTTACACTTTTCTGTGCTTTTCTGATTTTCCAAATTTTATTTGGAACATATATTGCTTATTATATAAATGCATATTTAGTCATATCACTTCCATGCTTAAAACCTTTTGATGACTTTGCATTGCCCTTCTGATCAAATCTAATTTTTTTTTTGGTACCAGGGATCGAACTCAGGACCTTATGCTTGTGAGGCAGGCAGTGACACCACTGAGCTAAATCCCCAGCCCTGATCCAATCTAATTTTAAAACATGGTTGACCAGTTTGTCAGGATCTAGCTCCTGCCTACCTCCCTAGCTTCCTCTCCCAACCTTCCCTTAGCCATACATGGGTTTGTCCAGCCAAATAGACATACAGGCTCCAAATGCATTGTGGTCTTTTGTTTCTCTCCTCAGTTTAGGTTGTTCTTTTGGCTTGGAGCATACCTTCCCCTTGTCTGAAGGGTTGTTTGCAATCCAGTCTTCAGCTCAGGCAACACTTTGCAGACCAATCCTGAAGTGAAGTAAGGAGGCCATAAAGCAGTTCCTTTAAGTGAGAAGTTGGGCTTTGCAGTTGGTATCACCTGTGTCTTTAACCAGTAGCACCACAGACACTCTGTGTAATCCTATAAACAAACCAATACAAATTATAGCTGGTGCTCAGTCAATGTTTAGTATGCAGGGAAAGTCAGGAAAGGCCAAGAAACATTGTCTTTGATCATCTGGGTGAAGTACATCACAGGTGTTCTTTGTGCCTTGCTAAGGCATACACTTCTGGATATGTCCCTGAAGGTGATTCCAGAGACAATTGGCATATGAAACAGCAATGATGGGAGAGACCTGTCCTGAATGTGGGTAGTACCATCCAATGGGGTGGAGGCTCAGATGGAACAAAAGCAGAAGAAAGCTACCAGCACTTCCTCTGTCTGCTTCCTGGCACCCATTAAATGAGGAGCTTTCCTCTACCATGCCCTTTTGCTATGGTTTTTCTATCTAGCCACAGGCCTAAAGCCATAAAACTGGCTGGCTATAGACTGAAACTTCTGAAATGATGAGCCAAAATAAATCTTTCCTCCTTAAGTTGATTTTTCTCAGGTATTTTGTCGCAATGATGGAAAGCTAACACAGCTTTAGGAGGAAGATGGCTCCTAAACATTGCAGGACTACATCCTCTGCCCAGCTGAAGGCCTGACCACTGACCTGCCCAGTGAACTAGACCTTGAAATTTGAAAGACTATCCTTGGTACAGATTGTTGCTCTGTTCTAATTTGGATTCAGTAAAACTTCTCTTTGGGTTTCTAACTTGCTCTTTCTCCCAAACTCTGCTCTCTAATGAATGAAATTGACCATAATTTGGGGTGATACACATGGGATTCTGAGGACCCCAAAGAATCTCTTGGATGAGAGCAAAAGATCTGAAACCACATGTGTTGAGAAAGGTGGATCATACAGAGCTTTGGTAACTGAGCATTTTGCTTAGAAGTTCATGCCACACTTGTATCACAGTTGTGTTTTTTTGCATTACAATATAATAAAATACATTAATGTTTTTTGTTTTGCTGTATTTGTTTTTCTTGCCACAAGTCACTCTTTCTTTCTTTCTTTCTTTCTTTCTTTCTTTCTTTCTTTCTTTTGTACTGGGGATTGAACTCAGGACCTTGCACTTGCGATGCAGGCGGCGGCACCACTGAGCTAAATCCCAGACCACCACTGTTTCTTTATTATAAAGAAGATTGCTACCTAGTCAGAATCAGCCACTGATGTTGCACACTTCAGTTCTAGCTTGACATAGACCTACCTGTTTGTACCATGATAATATGAATAAGCAGTCATGGAGTTTTCAGATTCCCAGAATGTGGGCTTGTACTTCATATTTGTGAAACACAAATATTCCAGAGTTTAATAGTACAGTATATATCATGAACTCACTGAGACAGAAACTATGAAAAAATATCATTCACAATACCACCAAGAAAAATTAAATACTTAGGAATTAACCTAACTAGAGAAGTGAAAGACTTCTACAATGAAAATTATGGTACTCTGAAAAAGGAATTTGAATAAGACATGAGAAAATGGAAAGATATCCCATGTTCTTGGATAGGCAGAACCAGTATAGTCAAAATGGTCTTCCTTCGAAAACTGATATATAGATTTAATGCAATCTCACTCAGAATACCAACAACATTTTTCAAAGAACTGGAGAAAACAATTCTAAAATTCATATGGAACCAAAAGAAACCAAGAATACCAAAAGCAAGCTTGTGTAACAAGAGCAAAACAGGAGGCATCACAATCCCAGATTCAAAATTATGTTACAAAGCCACAGTGATAAAAACAGCATGGTACTGACACCAAAACAGACATATGGATCAATGGAACAGGACAGAAAATGCAGAAACAAACCTAGGCATATTCAGCTATCTACCTATTTATCTTTGTCAAGGGACAAAGGTAGTGAAAATATACACTGGGGGAAAGATAACCTCTTTAATAAATGGTGCTGAGAAAACTGGCTATCTACATGCAGAAGATTGAATCTAGACCAATCTCTCACCATGTACTAAAGTAAAGTCAAAATAAATCAAAGATCTAAATGTTAAAACTGAAACAATCTGCTGGAGGATAAAATAGGTAAAATTCTTGAAGACATAGATGTAGGCAAGGACTTTCTGAACAGAAAGTTTCACAAGAAATTACATCAAGAATCAATAGATGGGATCATGTCAAATTAAAAACCTTCGGCACACCAAAAGAAACAACCAACACATTGTAGAGACAACCTCCCAATTGGGGAAAAATGTTTGCCAGCTATTTCTGACAGGACTAATATTCAGAATACATAAAGAACGAAAAAAACTGGACCTCTTCCCAAATAAAAAGACCCAATAAAAAATGAGCATCTGAAATGAATAGAAGAAGTACAAATGGCCGATAAATATATGAAGAAATGTTCAACATGATTGGTCATTTGAGAAATGTAAATTAAAACAACACTGAGAGCCCATCTTACTCCAGAAAGAATGGCTATCATCATAATAGATAAACAATAATTTATAAATAATAAATTTTGTTCAAATGGGAAGGAGATCAAAAGATGACAAAGGGAGAAGGGAAGGGAGAGAAAATAGATGAAAAAAAAAAGAATTAAGATGTGTTATGTACAGGTGCCAACTTCCCAAAGAAATGTAATCATTATGTAATGCAAACATGTACTCATAAAAAATTAAAACTGAAAAAAAAAAGAAATCAAAGAATAACAAATGCTGACAAGACACAAGGAAAAGGGAACTCTCCTACAATGTTGGTGGAAATGTAAACTAGTACAAACACTATGGAAATCAGTACTGACATTCCTCAAAAAACTAAAACTAGAAATTTTATTCCACCCGGCTATTCCTCTTTTATGTATCTTCCTTAAAGGGTTAAAGACATCGTGTTACAGTGATACATGTACACCCATGTTTATAATAGCACAATTAATAATAGTTAAATCATGGAAGTAACCTATATATCCATCAACAGGTGAATGGATAAAGAAAATGTGATATTTATACACAGTGGAGTACTTTTTTGCCATAAAGAAGGATAAACTTAAATCATTTATAAGAAAATGGATGCACCTTGAGACCATAATGTTAAGTGAAATAAATCAGACACAAACTTAAATATCTCATGGTATCTCTTATGTGAGAAACCCAAAATATAAATAAGAGCAAAACAGAAGATAGATAATAGGAAGTAGGAAGATAGATCTTTCTCAAATAGGAAGAGGATCAAGAAATGCAGAGAGGGAGGGAGGTGGGAGGAGAGGGGGATTAAAAAAAGAATTAAGATGTGTTATGAACATTTACCACTCCCCACAAAGAATTTAATCATTACATGCTGCAAACATGCACTAACAAAAAATTAAACAAAAATAATTTCCAAAAAATACATTATATCATCTGAATCTCACAAAAACACAAACAGTATCATCATTGTTTTAAAGATTTTATAGATGAAGAAAGTGAGAACCAGAAAGGTTACTTGGTTTATCTGAAATTACAGAGTTAGTTAGTGCTAAGTCCAGGACACAGATACTCTATTAACCCACAACTTTCTCTGTCTTGGTTAGTACATGTTAGTATGATAAGGTTATTAATAACTGACTTTATAGCTGCTTGTGGTTAAGAGTTGAGAACAAAATCTACAGTGGCCACATCTCTTACATGACTATTTTACAACCTTTACAACAGAAGGCAGCTGGGTTCATGTGAAATATTTAAGAAAGTAAAATTGTATCAAAAAATCATTTAAAGTGTTGTTTTTCTGCCAATATGAAGAATTTTGGGCTCAAATCATTCTGATCATGAGTTTAAAAGCATCCTGTGTATGTTTAATGGATAGTCACACTCCCTTTCTTTCCCCAGCAGAAATTGGCCAGTGACTTATTGGAAAGAGTTATGTCTCCTTAGAGGGCTACTTCTAGTCTATTCCCTGGGATAAATCTATAGGAAAAGTTGGTTTCATTGTGGAAAATTTAACATTAATTCATTTACTCTGCTCATGCCTTTTTTTCTTTAATAGGGTCTTGCTAAGTCGCTAAATTGTCCAGTTTAGGTTCAAACTTTCAATCCTTCCGCCTCAGCCTCCCAGAGTGTTAGGATTGCAGGTGTGCACCACTATGCCCAGCTCCATTCTTGTTTATATTTAAAGATCAAAGAACATTTCCTTTCAATAAATAGAGTTATAGATATGGCTTGTTAAATATAATAGATAGGATTCAAGTCTCTATTCTGTCAATTTCTACCAATGACTTTGGGCAAGTTACTTAAAATCCCTGAGCCTTTGTTTCCTCGTTTATCAAACTAGTACTAACACTCATAAGGGTTATGAGAATTTCTTGTTGCCTACCCAGTATCTGTTCCCCTAATCTCTATTTAGGGGACCCCCTACCCTATTCTCTCTCCCCCTGGTCTTGTTGAGGCTGGATCACCTCAATCCATGAATATAGAACATGAATAACTCAGGACAGACTTCTAAGAACCCCTGGTCAGGAGGCCTCTTTAGAGCTGAGCACGTGACTGTGTCTAATTAGCACACATTTGAGCACTCAAGAGGAAGCTGAGTGGTGCTCCGAGTGCTGCTTTCTATTTCCTGATGAAATGGAGACACTGAGAGAATGTCTGGCTGGAGCAGCTCCAGCCATCTACCCCCACAGGGAACCTGAGAACAAAGCCAATGCACAAAGGAAGGTGGAGCCCAGCCAGCAGATGGAGGGAGACAAGGTGCTGATGACACTGTTTAAGTCTTCGTGTCTGAAGCCAGGCCTACACTTGGACTTCCCAGTTTATTGTGAATCAATAGATGCCCTTTGCATTTATACCTGTTTGTCTCAGACCAGTTTAGAAAATCCTAAATGATATTCTACCCAAATGTGGGAACTAAAAACAGATTAATATATTGTAAGGTACTTAGCAAAATACATATTATATTGTAAGTGCTTGATAAAGGTTAGCTTCTGACCAAGAGTTTAGTTTAGAAAAGAGAGGACTTCAGGCCTCTCTAAGCTACTTTGCTTTGGGAGTGCCATCTGGCCAGACTAAGGTCTGTTTCACTTTCCGACTTGTCCGGTGTGTTCCTT